AGAAAACCTGCTGACAGATAATGATAGCTATTGTTATGGGAGAAGTTCCACTTTTGTGTCCATGTTATATTATTATGATTTTGTCAAACTTACAATAGTTAGAGATTTTTAAAAGAACTTTGGTTTATGATGCCTTAAACTACCTTGGAAATGTAAAACTAGAAGCATGCAAATTTTCTGATTCAAGGGTAAAAATAAGGCCCAATTAATAATACTTGAAAGCCAGTGTTGTTAATGGATAGAATGCAGTAAGTTTTTAATTTTTAACATATTTTCAAAAATAAATGTTGATGCAGATGTTTGACCAAACAATAATTATTTTACAGAATATGGCTATTTTGCACCATACTCAATACGTTACTTAGAATAATTTTTCCTAAATTTTCATAAAACCGTGTGTGTGTGTGTGTGTGTGTGTGTGTGTGTGTGTGTGTTTCATTCTATTAATTCACAATATCTTCTCAGATCTGCAAAAGTTCCGTACTTACTGAACTGTGATGAAGGTTAGATGACCTTGAAGTTTTTATCTGGTAATTAATCTGTTTTAAAGGGTTCTATAAGATTTGTCTCTTTACACATTCATTGATTAGAAGTATATTCCCATTTTGTAGAAGAGATCAAAGTAGCATACATAGTTTGCCCTCTCCTTCATTGGGCTGAGAGACACTGGCAGCTTCCTAGAAGATACTCTGTTAATGTGGATGGGATAGCCTTGCCTGAAAGAAAGAAATAATAGTTTAATTTAGCACAATTTTATCAAAAGTTAAGCTAAAAAAATGCAAAAGACCTGTTAACATTCTGTTTTTATATTATTAAGTAACATAATGTTGATACACACACACACACACACACACACACACACACACTATATATATATATATATATCGTACATCTGAGCCTATTTTCTTATTTTACCTGGAGAAAATTCATTCATAACTCTCATCTTCTTACTTTTAAACAAGTATGCTGATGTAGTTTTTTTAAAAAGTTATTAAAACATAACTTCATAAAATCATACACAGTAATTGCTAAATTGTAAGTATCACTAAATACTAACATTAAGTCCATGGGGAATATTCAGCACTACAATTGTGGACAGCTCAATCAAACATCTGTATGTTTTTCTTTTTAGCATTAATATTGAACTTTGTATCTTACATTTTGTCATTACTTTTAATGTTAAGTTTAAAAAAATTAAAATTAGGCATGCGGCCTACATTTGATGGCACTAAAATAATAATTATTTTGTTATTTTTTGGTTTGTGGCAATGTTTTATTTAAAAAGGTCATATCTTTTAATATACCTATTGAAATTATTTTATTTTATTTTTTTAGCCAAATACACAAAATAAGTTCCCAGGCTTTCCCAAAACTGGCTTTCTACTTGCTTTTGAAAGATGAAGCTTTAGTTAGAATGTTTGTAATTAAAAATTTGTCCAGTATGTATTTAACAGGAACAAATTCCATTTGCTTTTGTTTTGTTTTGTTTTGTTTTGTTTTGTTACATCAAACATTTACTGGGCACTCAATTTAGGATAATAATGGGGAAAAATATCTTATCTGGCTAAGAACTGGGAGTTATGGTCTAAGGTACTATTCTTGGAAAGCAGCTGATTGGAAAAAAAGCTGAACTGTATAATCTAATTAAGCTTCTGAAATAATCTGAGTTGTATTAATGGATCTTAGTCCCAAATATGTAGACCTTTGGAATTATTTAGGATAGCATTGTCACATAAGTTAGGTTTTCAGTGGATCTATTATTGTGGACCAGCACTTCAGATGAATTAGTTAGGGGTATTGGCACTAGAGAAGCATATCTAATTGCAGTGAGTCAAGAACAACGACCTGTAATTCCCTGTAGAGATTCTCAGTCATCTAGGTCATGGTTGCCCCAAAGGTGCTTTTTCAGGAGGCAATGGGACTTTCTTGTATTTTTTTTCTTTTGAAGACATTTCTCTTCTCATCCAAGAAGCTTTTTCAGCTGTGACATGTCTGCACTATCCTGTCAGAGCTAAAGAAGCTTCTTGGATGAGAAGCGAAACGTCTTTAAAAGAAAAAATAAGGAAGTCCAGTTGCCTTCTGAAACAGCAACTTTGGGATGGCCTGTAATTCTGTGCTATTTCTTTGGTTGAAATATAAGCATTCTTAATGATTTGTTAACCACAGTTTTCTTATTTATCTTTCTTTTTAACAGATTTTGGCCATTGTATCCATATTGTTCATTGTACTATCCACCATTGCTTTGTCACTCAACACTCTACCTGAGCTTCAAGTAATTGATGAATTTGGACAACTAAATGACAATCCTCAGCTAGCACATGTTGAAGCAGTGTGTATAGCATGGTTCACTATGGAGTACCTTTTGCGTTTTCTGTCATCTCCAAACAAGTGGAAGTTCTTCAAAGGTCCATTAAACGTGATTGATTTGCTAGCCATTTTGCCCTATTACGTCACCATTTTCCTCACAGAGTCTAACAAAAGTGTGCTGCAGTTTCAAAATGTCCGCCGTGTAGTTCAAATATTCCGTATCATGAGGATACTGCGGATCCTTAAACTTGCTAGACATTCAACTGGACTTCAATCTTTAGGATTTACTTTACGAAGGAGTTACAATGAATTGGGTTTGTTGATACTATTTTTAGCTATGGGAATTATGATATTTTCCAGTCTAGTGTTTTTTGCTGAAAAAGATGAAGATGCTACAAAGTTTACAAGTATTCCTGCATCGTTCTGGTGGGCTACCATCACTATGACCACAGTAGGTTATGGTGACATTTATCCCAAAACTTTATTAGGTAAAATAGTTGGTGGATTGTGTTGCATTGCTGGAGTGCTGGTAATAGCCCTACCCATTCCCATCATAGTAAACAATTTTTCAGAGTTCTACAAGGAGCAAAAGCGGCAGGAGAAAGCCATTAAAAGAAGGGAGGCACTTGAGCGAGCAAAGAGAAATGGAAGTATTATCTCAATGAATTTAAAAGATGCCCTTGCTCGCAGTATGGAACTGATTGATGTAGCTGTTGATACTGATAAAACTGAGGAAGCAGCGAATTCAAAGGAAACTCCCGATGACAACCACTTATCTCCAAGTCATTGGAAATGGGCCAGAAGGACAATGTCTGAGACAAGTTCTAATAAATCTCTGGAGAACAAATACCAGGAAGTGAGCCAGCAAGATTCACACGAACAGCTAAACAATACAGCAGCAACCTCCAGTCCTCAACACTTGAGTGCTCAGAAACTTGAAATATTATATAATGAAATTACTAAAACTCAGTCTCAGCCTAATCTGAATTCCACCTACCAAGGCCCTTCAGTGAAACCTCCCCTCTATGAGGAGGAGATAGAAATGGAAGAGGTTACTCGACAAGGAAACGCATCTATAACAGGACCCAAAGAAGTAATCCCTGATATGAGAAGTACTTCTAGCATTGACAGCTTTGCCAGCTGTGCCACTGATTTCACAGAGACAGAACGCTCACCTCTTCCTCCATATTCCAGTTCTCATTTGCAACTAAGATTTCCCATTGAGTTTGCCCATTTAGAAGACCAAACAGCAAAAGATTCCCAGCTTTTACCATTTATGAAAGATAAAATGTTTGCTCCCAGGGATACCTGCTTTGATTACTCCTCAGTCAATACAATGATGAGCTCTGAGAGCTGTCCTCATCCTCTCCTTCATGGTCACTTTCACTTTGACAATGCCATGGAGAGTCCCAAAAGTTCTTTCAGAGGAAGCAACCCTTTAAAATCAAGGTCTCTTAAAGTTAATTTTAAAGAAAACAGAGGTGGTGCTCCACAAACCCCACCAAGCACCACAAGACCATTGCCAGTGTTGGCAACAGGAGACTTCCTACAATATACCCCTCAGCATATCAGCACTATCCTCTTAGAAGAGAATTCACCGGAGGGGGAAAGGGCCCTGCTGGGTGTGGATTCTTCTGGAGCTTCTAAGCAAGCATGCCCTTTGTTCCCCAAGCAGAAACGTTTTTCTTTCCCTTCCAAAGAGAGAAGTTTTACTGAAATAGACACTGGTGAGGAAGATGACTTCAGGCAGTTGGATATCAAGGCAAACTGCTTTGGGGATAAACTTAAGGATGGGAACTATGTAACAGAAGACTCTGAAGTCAGTTCTTCTTCACCCAAACATTTGGGTCATAACTGCACTCAAGACATTTATCATGTTGGAAGGGAAATAACAGGGGACAATAATCAAGAAGGTCACAAAATGGAAAACCATTTGTTTTCCCCAGAAATCCATACAAATCCTAGTGATCCTGGTTACTGTCCCAACAGAGAAACCAGCATGTGACTAATTAGGACAGCAATAATGACAAAACTTATTTCTTAAAACTGGAATTAGCAATGCCTACGAATTAAAAAAGGGAAGCCTCGAAAGTAAATAAAATATTTTTGCATGGCATGAAGAGTTGTTTAGTTTAAGTACAATTTAATTTAAAAGCAAACTTTTTTTCTAACAAAAGGTAAATCAGGAAAAATGCAACAAGAACTGAGTAAAATAAAATGCTCTTTTCAGAAATGATCTTCTGCAATGCTTAACACTGTTAGTACTTTCATTTATGGTTGTAGATAATTTTAATTCACTTTTATTTTTCCTTTTGAATTTCAGAATTTGCACATGAAAGGATGAAATGTTGATTCATATGTTAATAATAGTGTGAAATAAGGTGCTTTGAGTCTGCAAAATGCACATTTTGTAAATAATTTTAATTTGCTGGAACATCTCCAGTTATCAAGGATTTGTAAAAAAAAAAAATCAGGTTTCTTGGGGCAGATACTTCCTTCAAGTCCACTGCCTGGAGGATTTGTATAGACTTATGTTGCAGAATTGCAGCTTATTCTTAGAGCATCTTACTTATCTTGTTTTCTCTTTAAATCCCCATCCAATGTACGCTGTTTGTTTAAGAAAATTGCAGTGTTTTCTCATTTCTTTGTGAAGTGAACCATAGCTTCAATTATTTTTATTTGCAGAGATGTCATGGATGCACTTGCAGCTTTTTTGGGGGAAAAATTCTTAAGACTGGGCAAGATTTAATGACCAGGAATTGAACTTTTGTTATACCTGCCAAATTGAAAGCAAACAAAAAACCATTAGAAGAAATACAATTATTTTTATGGTAATAAAATGTGCCAAATGACATGAAAACTGATTATTTTATCCTAAGACTTTAACAATGTTGTGATGTTGCACTATTGTTAAAATCTTACTATTTGTAGACTTCTTGTTATTGTATATCTGCTGTTTTCTTTAACAGTAGTGTGTCATTTGCACATCATTTTCACCCCCACTGCTGTACCAATATCATTCCATGAATCAACCGAAAGAATTGTCACATATGAGAAGTCAGAAAATGTATCTTTCAGAGGAGATTATTGAAGTTCATACGCTGTGCAAAAAAGTAATGTAGATTATTTGTGTTTAGCTTAGAGTATGCTATGGCCACAGCGGTCCATATACTGTGGTATAGGGCTTAAAAATGTGTAAAACCTGTAATTATGCTTATTCAGCAAAATATCTGAATGCCTCAATTTTGCACAAGGAACGCTGAATGCAGATAGGTTCACTCATAATTATCACCATTTCCATGTAATTATAGCAATTAACATTCAGAAAATGGAATATTTTGAAACCTCCATTGTTCATCTTCATGATATCTCTTCCATCACAAGCACTCTAGTCAATCTTTCCCCCCCAGATTTCTATAACTAATTCTGCTAATAAAGATTTAATGCATTAGTTATTTTAGAACCATAAAATTCAGTAGGTTTAAACAGCATTTTAACTATGTTACTTTAAAAAAAACAACTTTACATATTTCTCAGTTGCACTTATTCTGTAGGGCCAGGGAGCACAAATGGAATTTTAGGAACTTGTAGGAATTCAGTGGGAGGAATAGAAGTTCTGTCAGCTAGCAAAACTCACTTAGGTCAGTCATTTTCTCTTAACAGTCCAGTTTACAGCTATGTAGTGTTCTTTTATGGGATGAAGTAAAAACAGATCCCTCTGTTAGTCTAGGAGAAACAAAAGGATATAAATCTAACAAATAATACAATAAATCACATGATGCAAATGAGAAGATATCTTCTATGGCTCAATAGATCTCTTTAGAATTATACTTTAGCTTTATCAATTTTCCATAATAACAATAGGCAAGTGACATATTTTCAAACAAAATAGGAGTGCAGCCTTCTACCAATGTTATTTTCTGACCAATCAATCCAAAGCCTTTTTTTAAGTTTAAAAAATGCATGATACTAAAGGCCCACACATGGCTTTGCAAAGTGCCAACCCATGTACTTTTTTTTCCAGCTAAAAGAATATTTTTAAAGCACATTAAGCACTGAGGAAAAACATCTATTACTGATTTTTTGTATAGATTAAAAAAGCTCAAAATTTCCCCTAAAACTGTCTTTTAAAAACACAGTTTTTATTTTGTTATTTCCACCAAAACAGCTTTCAGTGGGGAAAATGTACGGCACAGCTCATGAATTTTACTTCTCCTAAATACAGTTCCACAATTGCAAACTTATATTTCACTCTTTGGACCAAATATTAAGCACAGGAGATTATGTTTCAAAAAAATGTTTTTTAAGTTCCTCTTAAGACTTCCTTTTTCTATTAAATTATATATCTTCAGATTCATATTTTATTAATTTATATACTGGGGCTAAATGTCATTTCTAAAGCAGCCAATGTCTGGTCATTAAGTCAAAGTATTAATTGTTCATGAAAATCAAATTACTTTTATTTTTGCATAAGATTTGACTTAATTGCATGGCAATCCACATGAACTGTTTCAATCATTATATTTTGTTCCATAAAGCTCCTGTATTTGTTTATCTTTTTTCACAGTTAGATATTCCCATTAATGGAGAGCAAATGCTAGCTAATAATTTTTTAGATATGTTGTTTTATTATTCCAGTTTATTTGTTTGTTTATGTCCCTACAGTTTCTACCTTTATTCAGACAATTAAGTAACGTCAAAAATAAAAGCTAAATGAAATGTTACCCTTAGATTGAAAACAGCAGCTTGTTCAGTAATTTCAATGAAATCATGATTTCCCTCATAATGTCTACTCAAAGAAAACTCTTGGAACACTACCATAACTTCTGAGTTAAAGATCTAAAGTTCAAAAATGAAAATTTGTGCTTCTCAGATTGAATGATGAATATCTTTCTGTCTTTATAGTCCCGATGTTGTATCATATGACATGGACATTTTAAGTTGCTATCTTATAGATTAAAAAAAACCTCGTGTATTTTTTTAGATGCATTGAAATGTAATCTGTTTCCCATACCAAGTCTATTCAACTATCATATCAAAACTGTCTGCTACTGAAAATATAGTTTTTAAAAATCTTATTTAAAATATGTTTGCAAAGTAATTCAACTGCAGCTACTGAAAGCTGATCATCTGCTTAGGAAAAAAATTGAAGATTTATGAATTGCTCTTATAATAGTAGTAAAATAAAAGATGCTTCTTTTAGAGATACTGCCATGTACTCTTATTGTAAAGCAAGTGTTAGAACTAGCACCTCATTAAAACAGTGACTGATTCTAAGATAGAAATACAGGATCTATGACTTTCCTGTCTACTGAATTTAAAGTCTCAGCTATTTATTTTTGTCCATAATGGTTAGAATTGCTGGAATTGTCCAGCTTCACCTCCCTAGTAAAAAGAAAAAAGGAGGGGAAAGCCATTTGATGATTCAGAATGGCACCCAAGCCACTAGGAAAATATATCTACATTTTCCTATAAATTAGGAAAGATTGTTACATTGTTTATTTTCACAATCACAAGATTATGAAATACATTAATTATTAGCCAAAAATCATTAAATGGCTGGAATCCTATGGAGAGATTTGAATCCAAACGTATACCACTCTACTCTCTAAACTAACTAGCTAACTAACTAGTAAACACTAACATTTTTCATCCCCTATTGTCTAAAATAAAAAAAACATATTCACACAGAAAACTTTTGCTTGATTTGGATATTTGTGTCACATAATCAATAAGTCAATCAACAACATGTGTAGCAAATATCTTAATTCACCAAGGTTCATTTTTCATGATTATTTCAAAGCAATCCACATTAAGCTGAAAAAAAAAAGAATGGAATGTTTTCTTCCTTTTAAAGTATAGAACATTTATCATAGAAAGTGATTGTAGTGGATGTATATCTGTTGTTTTTTTTAAAAATTATGCTGTAATTCTGTAAAATATTTGGTCCACTAAATGTCTTGAGAAAATTGCTGAGCCTAAGCCAGTATGGAAAAAAAGGAGAAAGAAAAATAGAATTCTTGTGAGTATGCATAACATGTTTTTTAAAAATTAATTTTTATATATTTGCTTGTTAATTATTATAGCAAAGAGCAATATTAATTTTTTCATTCCAGTCCTCATATAAAAATATCAGGTTCATTCTTCTAGCCAAGTTCAGCTGGAGTCAATGGGCAAAAGAAAGAACAAATAAAAGTATCATATTTATATTGTTTAAAATGTGAATAAATAGATATGTCCAATTCACAGCAAATTTTCAAGGAAGGGAAACAAAAATCATCTATAATAAAATGTTTACAATCTGGTCTTAAGCATTTCCCTTCTACTCTAAAAAAAGATATAAGCAGTTTCCCCACTTTTCACATTCACACATTGTATTGACAAACTGTCAGTCTAAGCTTAGGGCTGTCAAATTCCTGGCCAGTGGGCCAGATGCATCATGTGCTGGCCACTCCCGTTTTAGCAAAGGGGGGGGGGAATTCCAATATGTCATGTGACACCACCGTGACAATGTTAGTTTGATACCCCTGGTCTAGCTCTTATCTCAGTAACAACAGTAGTTGTGCAAAGAAGAAATCAGTGGTCCTTTAGATGTTGCAGATACAATCCCCAGAAGCTCTCATGAGGCCATGTCAGCCTGTGTTGTTGAGAGCTGCAGTACTGGATTGCTTGGGTTCCCTGGCTTATTTATTGCTACTACATAGTAGAAAAATAGTAAAACAACAGTGTATTATGCAGTTCCTCCCCAACCTGGTGTCCATTATAATTCAGCTTATTGCTCATCCACATAGAAGGGAAATCCCTGGCCTTGGATTTAAGAGTTCTTGTACATAGGGTAGGACAAAATTTTCTTCCACAAAATGCATTTCCAGATATCAATGCTGCTCAAAAAAAACCCCACTACTGCTCTTATCCTCTGAACTGATTACTTTTAGGAAGGGTCTGGTGCAGCTAGGTGAAAAACTGCCATACCTGCAGTTTGTGATGGAAAATATCTTTTGCTCACATCTAAGGAGGGGGGAAAAGCTTACAGTAGGGTTTTTTTTTAAGTATTTGCCTGGTCCAGAACACTAAAAAGAATTGCATCCCAAGTCCCTGGATGTAGAAAAGAAACTGAGACTTAAACAATTCTCGGCAAAATATGCAACTCTAGCCATGGATATGATATACAAGTCAGTAATGGATGATTAAATACTTAGGGATAAGTTTCCTGAAAAGAATATTGCTTGTTACATTGAGATAACTGTACATAAATATTAAATGATGAAAACGGTCTCATTTTTATAGGTAATATGTTATAACTCATATTTGTGTCTTATCTACAAATAGCAGGGATTCCGTTTATTTGAATTTAACATTGTTTTCTTCTGAATGCTACAAATGCTGAAAGGAGGAAAAGTACAACAGTAGATGATGATGATGATGATGATGATGATGATGATGATGATGATTATGACGACGACGACTTCTTTTGCCACAATATGTCTTTACTATTCAATTTCATGGCAGCATTTTATTGTGAATTGCTAAATTACTGTAACAAGTTATCCTTGTTTTTGTTCTTAAAACCAAGAAATGTATTTTCAGTGGGAGATAAAGGCATACACATCTTGTCAAATGTCCTTCTACTCCTTTTACAAATGCCCCATATTTTAAAATGGAAAATTTTGCTAGTTTTGTTGAGCATATTATTCATCTTTTAAGGACGGCTGCTGGGCTGAAAATAATACTCATATAAGACACTGCAAGAGTACTTGCTTGCATTATTTATTAGGAATGACTTAGTTTCATCATTTTGTATGCCAGCTTACCCCTTCTGTTATAAACCATTAATAGAATTTCACATATAATAGTATTCATTATCAATGTGTTTGTATGAATGTTTCCATCTCAGCTTCATTTTAACATCATGAAAAGGAAACATGATGTTTCAAAATTTTCCTTTCCTATCCTTTTCTTTCTTTCTTTCTTTTGAATTCTGTTACATTTGCTGATCAAGTAAATATTTGTGCACAAATCAGCATATAAATATGCATGTTGTAGCTGTATTGTACAATTGTTCAGCATCAAGATACTTGTTTATTTTCTGTCAAATATCTGTAAAATAAATGGCATTGTTCTCCATTTCCGTCTGCCAGAGTAAGCAGAAAAGTGAAATAAATGTGTAAATGAGTCATCTGTGTCTCATTTCAGTTCTCTGCATGAAGCCCCTTTGCCTTCAACATTGCATACATATCAAAATCCCAATTTATAGCAATTTTTAGTTTCATTTCAAGGAGTAGGGGAAGCTGTAGGAAGAAATATTTAGAATGTTGAGAAATAAGAGAGACCATTTTCATCACTTGCCTTTTCTTTCAATAGTTATGTTGTAGACTAAGCATGTTTGGAGGAATTGCCATGAGACTTTTCTGGAATCAAGCCCTGAGTTAGGAGGCTAAGCCTAATGATTTGAAACAAGGCTTACTTCACCATTCCATTTTACAATAGCCTTTCTTTTTCAATAATTGTGGTCTTACATTCTTGACCTGTGCTTGCCCCAAATCAGCAACAGCGGGACTGCAAAATATTGCTGGCTCAACCTTATGAATTTAGCTGTGAAGAAAGGCTGCCAGGCCATCTTTCTCAGAAATGGCACTTTGTTTTGAGCTGGTTGCCATGAATCAGGCTGCTGTCTTAGGACTGGAGTCTCAAGTACCCAGTGTGGCATCCCACATACCTATGGCCAA